AGCTCATACAAACAAAGATGCTTTGATTGTTTCAATAGTCTATCACGGAAATGCTATCGAAGTAATTAATTGACCCTTGACAAAGTGACATATTTGTATAAAATGTACGATAAGCGATTGTTTAACCAATCCAGGAAATGCGTAACCAAACCGCACGAACCTCTTAAAACCGATCGAGATGGAATCAAGAGCTTTGGACGAGTAATCATCTCCTGATATTTTTGTCACAACGTCCGTATATTCTTGGACATGATCGAGTGAACAAAATTGTGGCAAATAATATTCAATGAAAAACTAATAAAATAATTTGTATCAAAACATCGGACAGTATTTAACTTAATGACAGGATTTTTTCAAATAATGTTATAGTTTCGACCATAGAATTAAACTTAAAATGAGAATGATGTACGTTGTTTTAAAAACATCTGTTATCAAAAAAGACAATTGCCAACTCGAGTTAGTAATCCCCCAGACCCGCAGATGCTAATATTAGCTCTCATGTGATCTGCGATGAACAGTTTTTAAGAAAACTGCAACAGAAATTAAATTTGGTACGGATAAAAGCAGACATAACGAAAATGATACGGATACGTACAAAAATAAATCCCAACATATGGCTCACCAGAACAAAACATAGTCTGCGCCTAATAGAATAATCCTCTCCATGGAAGCGATCGAAGTATAAATATTAAATATCCAACATTCATAAAGTCTTCCTTTTCCTTTATATTGAAGTATTCTTACACTGTACATTACAAAAAAATGAAATTGGAATCTATATGTATCCTTATACGGTATTAAATTACGTGTACACTTAAAGAATTCAAAAATTATCAGGTATGGCATTTAAAAAAATAATTGCAGCTATAATACTAATTTTTTCAACAAAAAAAACTATTAAAAGGATGTTCCAGCATGATGTCAACTTGTACTGCATTTCAAAAAAAGGAAAAATATTAAGGTTTATTTTCCAAGTCTCAGTGATGACAACAGTTTAAAAGAAACAACAAAACATTTAATACACAAAAATAAAAAAAAAAGCTATGTTTATATTTATTGTAGAGAAATAAATTTGCAGAAGTAGTTTATTTTTGTTTCTAATAGGCACATTTGAAAAGAAATAAATAATGCTGAAAACGATGTAAATGCATGGTTTCAATATTTACAACTGCATGTATAAAAATGATTTGCCAAGCAATAGTGAATTATAAGGAAAATGTCTAATCCGTCATTTGTGCAACCCCTTGCTATTTTTCTGGTTTGACACTTTTCGATGTTTTTTGCATGTTTAATGTGACATACATCCTATTATGACTTAAGTTTTGTCCCAAATGCAAATACAATTGTTAAACGGATAGATGTTTTAGTTTCCCTAAAAGATTTGCAATTAATCAATTATTTTTTAATCATATTAGGATTATTTAGATACTAGTATTTGCTTGTTTCATTCACGGTTTTGGCGGCTCTGTATTTGTGGCAATTATTGATATAATTCTATCAGTAAGCGGCGATTTAAAATTAGTGTTAAGAAAGTCAGCATTTGAGTGCAATATCTGTTTGTATATTTGTCTGTCTGTGGTCAACACTAGCCTTCGCCATAATCTTTGAACCTTGAGACATAGAGACTGCATATTTAGTATGCATACTCCAATAATTAAGTTACTTCAAAAGACACCAAAGTCAATTACCTTGTGACCTTGACTGTGACTTATATGCTAAGAATAGCTTTTTCGAACTTTCGGCATCACATTTGAAGCATAGGAGATAGAGACTTCCTGTTTGGTATGCTTACTTTACTAATAAAGTTCTTTCAAGTAATGATGACCTTGCGACCTTGACTGTGACCTTGTGCTTAAAATAGTTTTTTTGAACTTTTTTTGCCACCAGGAGCACAGTGTTTCACAAACACATCTTGTTTGGATTAAGCTTTGCAATTGCAGGACTTCATCAATAAGCAATTATCATTACGTACCTACGTACATGTATACACGGCCAGAAGTACAGATGGAGGCTGTTAATATGTATTAACCAGTAAAAAGCCTAATAAGTGATTTGTTTTCTCAAGGAACATAGTGTAATACTGTAATAGACATAAACACAAGACAGGCTCATTAGGCATAGTGCATTTGATAGGCATTCTCGCCTACTCTCTACTAGTGATTTATTAAATACACTGTTTAACCAAAATTTTGTCATAAAATCTTTAATGATGCATGCATGAAAACCAAATTACATGTACACAATAATGATATATCAATTTGTATAGTTCTCTCATATAATAAAGATGAAAATTATCCAGTTTGCATGGTGTACGAGGGTTGATCCAAAAGTTCGTGGAATTTCTTCATATTTTATTTATTTATATGCGAAATTGGTTGAAAATTACAAATGAGAATATAAACACTTGTTGAATATTTTAAATAAAATAAAGTTTAATATATTTATGATACATGTAGTACTTATATGGCAGTTGCCATAGAAACGGTTGTTTGGAAAAGCGGGGAAGACATTTACGCGATTGTAATCATTTGAATGCTTAATACAAAATGTACGTGAAATGAGAATAAAACCGCCCTATATGGTATATTAAACAAAAAATATGTCACTATTACAATTATTTTGTCTTTTATAAACCTTTGTGTGAGAGTTTTACTGATTTTACTGCATATTTGGTGTATTAGTTAAGTTTTTTTTTGACAAAGTCAAATTTCGGTTAAATCATAAGTTTTGTGAAAATCCCGGGATCACTCTATCTTAAATGCGTATATTATTGATATTGGCTGGGGAAAATGCATTAAGTAACTGGTTTTCATTTAAGAAAATTGGACGTTGATTAAAGGTGTAGCTGCCTTTTGGAGGCTCTGTTTTGAGTGTATATCTCCCTAGACAAATGAAAAGCGTTAATGGAGGTTGTCGGCTGACGAACTGTTTTTAACATTGCTACTAATTTTGGAACATCATATGGGAAGATGAGGAGTATTTTGAAATATGAGTGATAAAATGAAAAAAAAACTTGGTGTGAGAGGATACCCTGCTTATCTTGAGAAAAAAAAATGGTGAAGAGGGCAGCAATTTGTAGAATTACAGATTCGCATCGGATATTAGGGTGGGATTCCTCTATAATGTGACGTGACATTTCCAACTTGACGTTACGTCGAAGTCTCCCCCGGGTTTCACAACTATCAAATTTCAGAAAGCTCGTGTGACCTTATTGGTAATTGGAATGCAGTGAAATTTTCCAATATTATTGTAGTTTGACTCTATATCATAAATATGCATGTTGTTTGCTTTCATGAAATCGCAATAAAATTTTAGAAAGAAATTCCACGAACGTTTGGATCAACCCTCGTATATAATAAATATTGCGATATCAACCGCACGATGACAAACTGTTGCCAAAGACCATCCTTAATCTAAATAATTCTATTTGGATATGACTGCACTTCATTACAAGAAAATAATTTTGGTTAAAGGTGGTCTTCTTGTTGAAAGAATGAAAATACTGTAGATCAATAAATTTTAGCGACACCTTATTTTCGCGAGATAGTCATTGACCCTTGATAAGCGAGACAAAATTTTCGCGAATTGTGGTTATTGCTTTATATATTTTTGTGGAATACTTTTATACGCGAGAATTATATTTTTGCGATCACACTGTCTCGCGTTATAACGCGAAAGTAAAGTTCTCGCGAATAAAAAGTGATTTACAGTAGATATTAAGTTTTTTTTTCTCTCATATAATCGTAACATTTAGCAATCTGTTTTAAATTCATCCATCCAATATCATTGATAATTTTGCACAGTGGTATTATTGCTGGAATGCAAATATGGTGATTGCGAGTTCAGGCGCCACATTTTCACATTGATGCATTTTAAGTTTCTTTGTGTATCTTTTCTACTTTTCTCTTAATCTCATAATAGATATAATTTCAGTAACTTATTATTAAAACATTAAACTTTGAAAGTATCTTGGGAAAAGACTTTCCTTAACTATTTAAAATTTGCAAATTCATGACCTTGTTTTATTTTTATTGATTTTCTAAATCTTTTGACTCAGAGTTAGAGTTAAATTGAACAAGTGAAACGATTGTCACTTGATAAACCTGCAACTATGAAAATATAACACTCATCTTCAAGTAATATGCTGTAAACCAACTTTTATTCGCGGAGACGTTATTTCGCGATTTACTAGGGATCAACTAGTTCGCGACGATTAATTTTCGCGACCAAGCTTTTTTGGATCTTTAAGTTAATAGACAAATACACTTTAAGGACTGGTTCGCGGCCAGAAATTTTCGCGATGATGAGGCTCTCGCGAACTTCGCGAAAATTTCTCGCACGCGAATAAAAGTTGGTTTACAGTATATGGACTTATAACATTAAAACATAACATAATTCTTAACTAGCAAAATAACAATGAATGATATGAACAACATTCTGACAGACCTTATTCTTTACAAAAATCACCTTCAGTCATATACACAGCTTTTTCTTAGAACGTGCAAAATTTTTTTAGGTCTTTATATAAAACCAATCTCCAGCATCGATGGACGTTATGTTAACCTTTTATGCCATGGTTTTCTAACATGACAAAATGATTTTTTGTATTGAAATAAGTTTTTAACCATATACTTTATTATTATCAAATACATGTTCAGTAAAATAACCTATTTTTGAATTGGTTTGTGGAATTTTAAATTCGTGGTGGGAAGATGTTTTGTAGTAATGCATATGAAATTTTACATTTCGTGGTGATCACATACATGATATATTCGTAAGTCTCTCCATACCTTGAAAACAAAAAATTCTTAAACCCATGAAAATTAGTGATTTCACAGTATTTCAAACAGATTTTCGCTAACAATTGTTTGTAGTCGAGATTTTGTAAAGGCAGTTCAAACAAAAACATATATAAAACAGGAAGGATCAATCATATTAATAACTCTCAGGACGATTCTAACGACATGTAAACATCCAATGAAAGTACATATTTAGTTTAAAATTAATCTAAAATCCTTTCAATTAACTTTTGAATTGGACGATATGTTTGTGATCATATTTATTCTATCGTTTGGAGCTGAGTTTCAAATTGGAGCAACATCTTCTGAGTGTTCTGGACCGAGGTTAGCATTTGTACTTGTCTTTCTTTATATAATTGATATTAAGAAAAAAAGACCCTTTACTTTTTTTTTAAACTTTCAAACATTAATTTTTACCAAGAGATCTATAGCATTAATTTCAAATAGAAAAATAATATGAGGTATGAAGTGGTGCTTATTCTTACTGAAATGATTTTTATGTCATTTCAACAACAGGAGAAATTTAAATATAGGGAGGGGAGGAGTAATGAATTAATATAAAAACATCTATTCGTATATAAATTAATATTTTTTGCAAATAAACTCCGCAAAGGGTGCACCCGAGTTCTTTCTTACTCCCCTAAACCAGTTCTAAATGTTTTTATTTACATCTTTTAAAAATCAATGGATTAGGAGATTCAGATATTGATTAAATTAATTTGTAAATGAAAATAAATTTCACGTGTTGGAAACAGCGATAAAAACTCTGGTTGAGTCAAACGTCAAAACACGTGGTTAAAAAAAAATCTGCGTCGAAGTTCACCGTCATTCTGCAACGTCACATCTTTATGACGTTATTTCTCTGTTTTAGAAGAAATGCCATAAGGACCCTTTTGTCATGGGCGCAATCATATTGATTCTGTTTCTTCCGTTTAGACCTTGATTATGGAAAAGAAGACTTACATTAACTTTAATATAACAAATGTATTTACTGTCTATTGTGTATCGTAATTACAAATGTACATGTTACATGTACCACACTTCACAATTTTTCTGTCTTTATATAATATTTAAAAAGAAAGAACAATCAAATAAATTTTCACTTCACAGTTTCGCAGTAGCATTTAGGTAGCGTAATGTTGTTCTAGATATAATTATTTTTTTTTTCACATATATGGTAACTAAAGATATATCGTTTATGCTGAAATCTTGACGTATCGAGAGCAATGTTTAAATTAAAATAATTTTCAAATGAATTCTACAGGCTTATCAAATTACTCTTGCATAGATTACCAGTAAATATTTTGTTTGAGAAAATAATTGTTTAAAAAAAAATGAATGGATGTTTCCCGCTGTTCAGGTCTCTCCCTGGTGTCATAGAAAAGTGAAATGTAAAACAAACACTCACTCATAATACTATACTCCACCGATGAATCCATAATATATAATTAACTATTAAATAATTATTAATAATAAAAAGAGACAATGAGATAAAAATAATGTGCATAGAAAAATATTAAATATTATACAACTATTAATCACCGTAGTAAAATTACAGAAGAAAATAATTTAACGTTCACTCTGAAAACGTTTGACGTTGTTCAAAAACATGACGTCATTATTAACCTGTTAAAGTATATTTGATAAAAATGAAGAAAAAACCTACTTAGAGTTGACGTAGGGCCATAAAAATTCATATTTGACCACTTCTAACCTTATTCTATCAGAATCCGTGAAAAACTCAAAATGCATAGAAATTGCCATAAGGACCCTTTTCACATGGGCGCAATCAATTTTATGTATCGAAAAACTATAACATATATCATATATTTGTAATACATGTATGTTTTTTTTCTTTTAAACTTTTCGGTAAAATGTGTATCTTCTTTATACTGAGAGCACCCTGACAACGAACCCAACGTACAATTTGTATTTTGTAATTAACTTGCTTTCAATAAAAGAGAACAAGATATTCCATTTTTCGTCACAAGTGACCTACATAGTGACATAGTGATAAGGATCAAACTTTATTCAGTTTATGCTATATATAGAACTTGTATATGGCTATGTGTACAAACCATATTTTCTGATCTGAATTGTAATTTTGAAGATATAGAGATAGTTCGCGAACTTTTTGATCACGCCTCGTACTGAATGCGGGATTTAATTTGAACAAAGTATTTCTTCCTTCTATAAGCCTGTAGTCTGTCAATAAAAACTACAATTTACAACTTCAATACACTTTCTGATGGAAATGTTAACTGTGAAAATTCAATTTCTCGCGCTCGAGCGGGATTTCATCTAGTGAAATTAGAAATGAGGGGTGTTTATGAAAATAATATCTAGTGTCACTTGGTACTTAAGATACAATAAGATACAATAAACCATTTTTCAAGTGGCCCTTTAAAAGATATAAGAAATTATTAGATAAGTCCCCTACCAGTGAATCCGGAGCGGACTATTTGGTTTTTTCTGAACCTGTCCGTCTAGCTGTCCTTCCGTCCGTCTGTCCCACTTAGCTTTCTGTATTTTTTCTAAACACTTGCAGATATTGGGCTGATTTTGTATTAATGTGTATCTTGATGAATTACAAAGTTTTCATTTCCTTACGCTTCAATGATTTTTAGACAGAATTACAACCTTTTCGATTTTTAAGAGTTTCCGTATTTTATCCAAAGTCTTGCAAATATCTGAGGTTTGGTAAGTCACTTGACTTTGAAGTATTGATCAATTTTGAATTTTGTTCTGCTTCAATGATTTTGGTGGCATAATGGGATTTTCAATTTCAAGTATGAATCAGATTACACTTTCTGGTATGGGACTAGCATTGCAAATGCAAAAACACTAATAACATTGGCAAGAGTTATTACCCTCTTTCCCCGCTTGAAATGCAGGAGTATATTGTTTTTGGGGTGTCCGTCCTATCCTATGGGTAACGCTTTGGGGCACCCATAACTTATTTAATATTTGCAACTCTTCTTATAACACTAAATGAAAGGATGACTGCACTTAACGCCTGATAATGGGTCTTTTTGGGTCGCTTCCGTTGCTTTTATTTCTTCATCTAATTTCACTGTGTTTATTAATCAGAGTATTGTCAGTTTGGAACAAAATTAAAATTTTTAAAAAGATTCTACATTATAATTCAGTAATTTTATTCTGTGGTTTCCCCCCTAACTGGTTTTCAAATAAATAGCATTTTCGCTTATCTATTCTTGATTGAACAAATAAGATTGATATAAATGTAAACGAGAGTAGGAGCTAACATTGTCAAAATGCCTTAAACATGTTAAAGGAATTAAAATAAAACTATCATACTTGTTAGTAACAATGCCATGTATTAAATAAATACGTGATCACTCTTGCAACATCGAACTCCCTCTTTTGTATGGCACAAGTTCACAATTTGCTAAGGTTACAGAGGTCCTTGTTTGCTTTGCTCCTATTTTGTATTGTTTTATGGACTTTCAAATTGAATACTGTTTGTTATCTCCATATCCCTTATCTAAATACATAAAAATCAAATTAAGCTGTCAAGTATATCTTTTTCTCGACAGAAAGCTAGTGAAATGTACGAGGGGTGAACAAAAAGTTTGCAATCGATCTCTATATTTAGAAAACCAGAATTCAGATCAGAATGAAATTTGAGATGTGTACTTATTACGAAAGATTGCTTCTCTGTCGTATTCGAGCAATGCACGTTTTTAAAGTTTAATGTATATCTCAGAAATTCCTTCTCTGTAGCAAAGAATTAAAATAAAATAGAGACTTGGTGTTTTCATATCCTTTTAAAAAATTTATCCTAAAAGTCCAGGTCTTGGAGAAATGGCTTTATAAAATTGCAATGTTCTTGAATTTTTAGGTAAACAGGCATTATTGAGTACTTTCAGTGAAGAGAAATTATGTGAGCGCACTCTCTGATCTAAAAAATAAAACATGTACATTAATCCTCAGAAACAGTTCTATCATTAACTGGTTGCATATTTAGATCAGAGGTTGCGCTATATATCAAATATCAAAAAATAGCTTAAAAAACTGGCCGTTTTAGTGGACTTTTTCAGAATATGAGGAAATTGACGCATATCGTGACGTCATAATGCATTGACTAGCCAGAGAATGACGTCATTTTTGATAGATACGCAGTCAGCAAAGATCTAAGTGATATTTAATGCATTGTTAAGTAAAACTATGTAGTTTCAGTTTTTCAGAAATTCACAGGGTCAAATAAGGCAAAATTGAACCTTGTTCTTTGATAATTTCATTGCGACCAGATAAGAAAGGTACAGTCCACTAATTGTTTTCCCATAGGCGACAATGTTAACGTTTCTTCTCATAGCGATGTCCCTAATTTTCGTTCAGTAGTGAGTGACCCCTCAAATCAAAGGAGATCAGTTTGTCTTTTTTTGGTTAAAATCTCGAGGTGGCATGTTAGATTCGTTTTCCGGCAAAATGCGTCTGTCTGCGAGAACCTCTCAAATGAAAGTAAAAGAAGGGGAATTTCAGAGTTCTCACTGGCGTTATAAAACACAAAAAAATTCGGCTGACCTTCTTGATGAATTACATTTGCCAAGCTCCTTATCAACAAGTGTGAGGCTCAATTCAGTACATCTGCACAATTTTTTTATGCAAGTCTGCCAATTAAGGAACTTTTAATTTTTTCTGCACTACTTTCTTTTTCTACCGATTCTAAAAATAATTAGTAGCATGTATAAAGAAGGCAGTGTGAGATGAACGTCTACACTCGTCGGACCTCTACAAGGAAATGAGCTGTTAAACGATCTGCGCCTTATATAGGGGTTGTAGGGACAGCGTCGATGAACGGGAAATATGGCGGGACAATGCCTTTTACGAGAAGTGTTCAGCTTTAAAATCGGAGTGAACTACTTTGAAATTAATGAAAATGAAACCTTATTTTCTTTCTTTTATGGAAATTATTCAATTAGTTTGCAAACTTTTTGATCATCCCTCATAAGTTCAGATTGGTGTTGATTTTATTACCTAAAAATGCTATATAAGCACCTTTAGATTGACTTGTTGTTTTCAATAAAACTCAAAAAACAAGAAATTTACATACAGGAGCCTCTTTATTGATGAATTATGACAGCAGATTTTCATTTTTTTTCTTCGCTACAAACGTTGTTTATTTTTTCTTTAATTAAGTGCTTAAAAGATGTGTACCTTTGTCAAATCATTCATTAACCCACCATATAATTTACATACTTCATTGCACTACCTTATTGTAGGGGTTGTTGCAGAGGATATCGTTATGATTCCAAACTGGAGGAATGTATAAGTAGGTACCTTGTTCTTATTGTGACAGCTGTTGTTACATTTTTAAATTTCGTTGTAGATTTACAGTAGGGTCATTAAAATATTATATTCCAGAGTATTTAGTAAAATTTCTTATAAAGTTTATGAAATGGAGCAAACTTATAAAGTTATGAAATGGAGCAAACTTTGGAGAAAAAAATGAATATGTTTATGTATATGTATTTAATGATTGTGTAATAAAAACCTCTTTAAACAATTTAATTGATTTATCAATACATCATGCAGAATGTAAAATCGGGTACGGTGGTCCAGATTGTATGTATCCATGTCCCTATCCTGGGTATGGATTTGGGTGCCAGGAGAATTGCGAGTGCACGAAAGGCTTTTGTAACGTGACAACAGGTTGTCCATGGGACTGTGATATCATCCCAAACTGTTCATCTGTTTATGCTGGTAATGACTCTAAAGTACATATGTATCATTTAAGACTACAATACATGTATTTTCCCTCGTCAAATATCAAGTTTTCTATCCAACAACTTTTACAGAATTTCTCCACTGACAAAATACTTTTTATACTGAATGTTTTTTTTTCTTTTAACCTTTCTGCACTTTAGTAACATTTTCTCACTACATGTAACATTGATCAAAGGCAAAAAAAAATTATGAAAATTTCTTACGAGGTCATTGTAATTGAAATTTAGATAATTAATAAATGGACATTTTGTGTAGAGTAATCATCAACTCTACTGCTGCAATTGGTGTAAAGTGCTTAACACAGTTTCAAATACAAGTATTAAATGTTCATACATGTAAGACAACCCTCGTATGTTTCAGTCTAGTTTCATCGGCATTTATGATTTTACTTAAGACGATAACAAGCTTCGGAGAAAAGTATATCATTGTTTTTAAAATTATTGAAAGTACATGTAGTGATTTTTTTTTATCAGACAATGTCTTTTCATGCAAAATGATCCCTTTTCATGCTATGAGAAGTTTGTTTTTTGTTTAACGTCCCTCCCGAGAATATTTCTCTCATGAGGGTCGCCCGCGTGGCGTAGTGCTTAAAGCGTCTGCTCTAGAGTCGCCAGGTAAAGAGTTAATCCTTACGTCACGGATTCGAATCCCACTGTGGGGCGCAGAGACCGGTCTTTCGAATAAGACCGTATAAACCGAGGTCCTGAAACACTTGCACTTAATTACAGAAATCTAAATAAAGCATGATTATCTTTGTCAAATTATTTTATCTATAAATCTAAAACAGACCAAATTGACAAAAAATTATTCACATTAGATATTACTTTTTATACCGAATTCTTCATGTTCTTTATTAGCATAATTAAATATTGTACAATCAAAAATACTTTCCTGCTTTTAAGAAAGCAACAAGCTCTCTGCACATTTAAACTCCAAGGCCTCTTACAAAAACAGTGTTCAAGTTTCAAGTCATATAAAAGAGCACAACAAGGTATTTTAGATCACAAAATTTTAGAATCTCCATGGCAATGAGCTAGCTAAATACTGAAATAAAAACAAAGGGTACTGAGGATGGTGTGCTTCTTCATATTTGACCACAGAAGAAGACATTCGGGTTGTTTCCTTTTATTTTAGGGTTTGGTAACTTTTCCAAAGATTTTTCAGGTACCCATTTCGTTTGGATTCTGGGCAGGCCATCATGCTGCAACCTTCCATCCACGGGGAAGTAATCGTAATTTTTTTACCAGCCACAATCAGTTGATTAATTCGCTGCTGTATGCACTTGGACGAGACTGGACAACGCAGCTTTTGATTATTTACTCTAATATTCTACATCCAAATTTTTATTGATACACCTTTAAAGGAACGATTTTCACTACACAAGATTTTACAGTCGCTATACCCATTCACAAAATACAGTGCACCTTGTACAGCCTTTCCTTTTTAAGACTTCAATTCTTTTCATCAATGTTATATAGGTTTTATATGCTTTGAGTCTATCCCACCGCAGGTGCAAAGATTAACAAAAGTGACGACTGAAAGTTAACATGTCCACAAGTAACAGCTTTTCAAAAAGCTTGATTGACTTAATCAATCAATATCTATAAGAGAAGTGATAAACCTTTTGAGCAATGCTTTTTTGTGTTTGAAATATGTCTTTTTATTTGAGAACCTTGTAAAAATATTTAATTATTTAACTTGTATAAGAACGATGCCTTTGCTGCATTCTGATTTCTGAAGAATTGTTAACAGAATGGTTAATGTATGTGGGTTTTCTGCCAATCGCAACTCCTCGGGCCTTACCTAGGGAAGAAGACCACACATGAATTTATACGCCATGACACCCCCCCCCCCTTTCACAAACTTTGAAATAAAAGCATGGATGATGTAAATAGACCTAATATCTGTGGAATATGGAGTTAACTTTATTCAATGTAATGATATTATCTAAAATATACTATAGAAGGAGCTTCTAACTCCGTTTTTACTATGAACAGGAAATGTAGAATTTTTTAACATCCGATTTTGTTTTTCGACCTCTGACGAAAAGACCCGAAATGATGCGATTGACTTTTCTGCAAGTAGATTGATCTACCCCTGGATCTAAATTTAAAGCTACACCTATTCTGAAATCTGTTGTCAAATCAGTCATTGTGAACATTTTAGAGGATGGATATAACTAAATACATATGTTGTAGGAAAGTATTTTTCTCCAATGAAGTAAACAGTAGTAGTTTGTGTTCATTGATCTTTTTTTTTCTGAAAGGTGGGTACTAGAATTTTTTGAGAATGAAATATAGGCAAAACCAAATTTGGGCTTTTGTGAAAAAGAAATCCAAGATTTCGGACAGATTTCTTTCGTCAAATCGTCTGGAATCTGGTTAAACTGCGTCGATCGTTTGTGGTGATTTAACTAGTCCATTAAAATTTGGAATAAACCAACAGAGGGGAAACAAATTAAACAAATCATTTCTTTTGTTTTGCATGTCCATATTCTGCTTGATACATACGATTCATATGTTGTTTTAAGGAATAAGATAAAATAAGTAGACAGAATTTATGAATCATAAGAAGATAGAGGTTACAATAACAAACTTTTAAATTATTTAATTCCATAGAAGTTAGCACCCCCATTCATACAATAGAACAATCCAGGAAAAGGTGCGAAGATCGCTTACTCGTGACATTTGGGGCGAAAAGAGCGATTCACCCCTTTCGTAGAATATAAATGGACTGATCCAGTAGTATAGAAATGCAGAAAAAAAGATACACGGACACGTTGAAACGGTAAATCACATGGAATAATCTGTTTAATGCAAACAGTATAAACAAAGTAAATACTGCATTATTTTGCATCAGTAAAATCATTGTTTCCCTGAAAAATGTTTCTTTTAAAATGCAGGTAAACGATTTCCAATTCAAATCAGCTTGCACAAAATCTAGCTCTCTGGGTATGATCTATTAGTTTCGGATCAAGTAATTATCAATCCTTATACAGCCTGACGCCGTGACGTCAGGCAATTAAGACATTTATTTTAAAGAAGTCAATGGCTCTTACATAAACTACTGTACAACCTTTAAAATCTCAGGAATAGAATGTTACAGGCATGATGGTAAATGTACCCATTTGTCAAACTGCCCTTGAGGTTTACCTTTCCAACCTACAGACTGTCCTCCACATCTTCTTTAAAAAATAAAGTAAATGAATATCCTCCAAATGAGCTTGCGAATTTATTATTACAAGTTTACTCGCTTTAAAAAGGGGGGAGGGGGGTGGGTTACATTCTGTGCCCTGTAGCGGGAATTCATATGATGAATTGTCTCCATAACCTGGTCTGTCTGTCCAGTGAACCTTGATTTGCTTACTTGAGCGACGTATTATAAAGCAGTTTCGGTGCAACCATATATTCAAGAAGTGGTGTGAATCAGATGTGGATACTTAAATATTCCAAAGAACTTTTGTACAATTTGAAATCACAAGATTTTACCAAATTCAACAGCTTAAAACTTACGACTTTTCAACTTTATACCCAACCATTCCCAACGACGAATTTAAATATAGACTTTTTTATACATGTATCATTGACAGCTGCTTTTTCAATAAAAAAGGAACTCGTACTTTTATTTATTTGGTCATTGGTCATTTTCAAAATTATTTTGTTAAAAAAGATTCTGATGGCACACACAAGTACTCTTAAGTTGACTTCAAGAACATGCTTGAGTTTCAGATGGACAATATCTATGTGGTTTTTGGAGACCAGGTCTTCCAACAATCTATTGGAATTCCCTGGGCCCTGCGAACCAATTGCGCTCCGTTATTAGCAGGCCTATTTTGTATTCATATGAAGCAGAATTTATGCAAAATCTTACATGTATGCGTGAAAAGAAGAAAACACTTGCTGTGGCCCTCAACTCGACCTTCAAATATATCGAAGACGTATTGTAAATTAACAATTGTAATTTCCATTCCTACGTCGTTACGATATATCCAGGAAAGCTTGGGATAAAAGATACCACAGAGTCTGACACATCTGTTTCATACTTGGATATTTTACTTGAAAAAGACGTTAATGGTAACCTAACATCCAAATTATATGATAAACGTGACGACTTTAACTTTTCTATCGTCAACTTCCCTTATTTATGCAACAATATAACTTCATCACCTGCATACGAAGTGCATATATCTCAGTAGTTTTGATACGCAAGAGCATGCTTTACGTATAAACAATTTCTAAAACGAGGTAAAATATTGACAAGCAAGTTGATGAAACAAGAATATCAACAGTCTCGTTTAAAGTCATCATTTCGTAAGTTTTATGGTCGATACAAAGACCTTGTCAGCAAATACAATTTATCATTCAGTCAAATGCTGACTGACGTTTTTCATACCAATTGTTAGTCCATTATTAATACACTGAATTGAAGACGGATCTTTTGCGTTATTTCCTGATCATGACAACGAGCACACGGCGGGTGTGACCGGTCGGCAGGGGATGCTCATTCCTCCATGGCACCTGATCCCACCTCTGATGTTTTGGAGGTCCATGTTTGCTCTGAACCTATATTGTATTGTTTCATGGACTTTGATATTGAATACTGTTCATTATTTCCAAATCCTCCTTTTGTTTATGCATTATTTTCCTATTTATATCTTCTTTCGAGTACTAGCCTCTTTTTGGGAATATGAAAATGTTTAACTAAAAGACTTGATCACTTTTCAACAACATGATGCACTATTTTCATAAATCTGTGCACCAAAATTCTTACTTCTTACTTCTGCTTGTTTTTCTGTATAATGTACATGTGGGTCAAATGCAATATTACGTTTATAATCGGATAGTAGGATCTCAAACATCCGTACAACCTAAATTTAAAATCTGCTTTATTTCCTTATAACGGCATCAATAGTGATAACTCTGTTTATTTAAGAAATTCCCATTCCCGGAAAAGGGAATTGTTTGTTTCCTTGTTATAATAGATCTATTAGCACTGATGCACATACGTTAACAAAGAGATTTTTCACCCCCCCCCCCCTATATTTATGATTCTGATGGATTACGTGTTATTTTTCTTAATTCCACTATCATCTGTGCTTATTTATACTGCAAATTCTTCAGATATTCCAAAATGTGAAGGGTATGTATATTTTATTTTATATTTCTCTTTAAATTCAAAGACCTTGTTTGGGTCTATATTTTCAAAGATCGTGGATATTTCTACTTAAAATCATTTTTTTTAATTATACATAACCATATTATTTGATAACAATTCCCTGTAACCACTAAAAATTCTTTACCACCCATGGTTATCGATTTCGATGAAACTTTGACCTTTATTACTACTTGAATATATATATATAAATAATTGAATTGCTATGTGTCTTTGTTTAAATGGTAAGAGCAGGTAAAATACATTTTTTAAGGTTTTCAACAACTTTTGATAATATTTTTGAGTCCCTTTAGTTGTATTCATACCATGACAGCCATTGTCATCAAGTATGAAACAGTTACATCATATTTCGCCCTTGGTATATGTTACAAAGGTTTTTCTCTATTATTAGTTGCACGACAACTCATAATTAATTCATTCTTAAAAATATGACTTTATAAAATTGAATATAATATTTTTTTCTTTTGAGTAAAGTGCTTCTATAATAGCATATGTCATTGTTGAGTTTCCAAACACGTTTATCTTACAGACACTGAAACTAATTTTGGGGATTTCAAAAGTTTAAAAATGCCATTTTTAAAATACTAAACATGTTGCCAAGGTAACCATGACATATTGCAACAAGGTTTTGACTGAAATGAGTTACCGATATCAGAAACTTTTTTCATTGAAAGTTTGAAGAGATTCTAGGACAAAGTGTAATGCGGATTCTTTAAACTTTTCCCGTTATAATGGATAAAAGCTTTTGGTAATTTCAAATTTTCCAAATAGATTCCCTAATTTCTGCTGTCCAGATTACCAGTGGAATATAAAAAGTCAGCGATGTGAAAGTAAGTCAATGTTTGATTACAGATGTATCTAGGAGAAAATTGTACTTTTTGGGGGAAAAAAACAAGATCAACATATTGTCATTATATATATTCAGATGATACCCCTTTTTACAAAAGTGGCCCATCCATTCGTTGCAGTTGCGCATGAACATTTTCAATCTTTTATCTAAATATCTTCATCACTTTTTTTATTGTTAATATCTTAGTCATAATTAAAACCTCTTAGATTTATTTCAGAATGTTTACCGGGATACATTGGAATAAACTGTACATATAAATGTCCGTATCCTTCTTATGGAGATGCGTGTCAAGCAAAATGTGATTGTGCAAAAGACAAGTGTGATGTTTCAACGGGTTGTTTTTATGAAAAAACTGGTAATAAAATTTTTGAAATTCATATACTTTTGAAAACAAAAATGTGGTAACATATATCATATCAGGATTATTTTATTTATTACAAAAGATGTATGTATTCATACAAGATCATATAGTGCGTGAAGCAATGTTCACCATGCATTTCATATGTATCGGATACGCATTTCGATAAATTGCATGCATATGGGAGATAATCCTTAAATTTTAAATACTTTTCTACATATCATATAGTGTTTAAAGAAATGTTCACCAGACATTTTATACAATTCGCCCTATAGTAAAATATATACTTAACTGAACAATTTAGGGGGTGATATGGGGTTAGCTGGTGCTGATTTGTGTTGTACACTTTGATTAAAATATACAAGGTAGTTTATTCACAGTTATAAATTACTAAAAATACTCGTGGCCTGAAGTAA